AACTTGAATCGTAAGAGAACTTGAGCACATAATCAAGAAAAAATGTGTCCTTCATAAATATTGAGCCGATTGGTCTATATAACCTCGTTATTTTGACTCTTTGGGGATGTAGGTCACGCCAAACGGCTAGATATATTTGAAGGTCACCTTTTTCTTAACTTTGTGCTCACGTTATCTCACGAGTCAATTGGAAAGCAAGTGGGTATTTACGAGTTTTTAGTACCTGATGAAATAGACAAAGTTTGCCGACCTCCAGATTGAAAACGCCCCAATTCCGAGGATTATCATAAATAAAATATTTGTAGGACGGGAAGAAGCTATTTACGAAGTTTCAGCAGGATGTTAATTATTTAATAAAAAGGGGTCTGTACTACGGACTACTCATTTCGGCTTAGAGAATAATCAAAAAAAGTTTTGCAACTTAAGAAATTAAGTTGGAGAGTAAATCTAAACTGTACTTTCTGATTATTTTTAATTAACAGATCCTACATCTAGCTCCTTTTCAGCAGATGGCCCATGTCAATTATCAGTTTATTAGTATAGTGAATTTTATCATAGTATTGTTTGTAATCATTTGGTCTAGATTCTTCCACGGATGGCTATTGAAGGTTAATGTCTATACCGCGGAGATAAAGAACACTATGCCTATTTTCTATTTTTTGGGGAACCAATTTTTCTTAATTTTTAGCTATTAAACTTTTTTTCTTAGTTGTTAAACTATTAAATAAAAAATGGGGCATGGAGTCTTTTGGAGGAACACAGATATGTAGAATTATGCTTCCATTATTTGTAGTTTGCTCTTTGTCTTTTCCACATCAAAATATTTAAATTCAAATTGCATAAATAGCGATGAATACCTACAAGTGATAGCTATGTCCAAAATGATTGTTTTTTTGTTGTTGTTTTTTCTAAATTTAGTGTTATAATCGATGTACAGTAAAATGGGATCGAAATCTATCTTCTAAAAATGAGATTTTTCTGAGAGGTCCATCCAAGTTAGTTTGTCATGTTTTTGACTTGATATTTTTCTTCCTTTTTAAGCATACGAATTTAATGCCATTTTTAGCGTGAATTGGGGCAATTTGAGAAATCTAAACAGAAAGGAGAAGATTCCTTCAAAAATTGAAAGTTATTTTATTATCATTATTGTAGTTTAATTTTTCCCCCTCCCCTCCCCGCAGTTTGAATGTTGTATTGTTTTCAGTGATATTACGAGTAAACTTAAAATGAATATACGTTATATCTAATCTGAAAGGTAGCGGGGTCAGTTCGTGAGTAAGGAGCTATACCCCTATACTCTGGGTTCTAAGCTCTTATTTGGCTGGAGCAGATAATTAATTATCTTGTTTCATTAGTCGTGGATCGACACTGGAATCAGGGGACCCTCCGATGATACACACCTGATATAAACTCTCTGTAATCTTAGACAGTTAATTTGTAATATTTCGCATATTGCTAAACAATAGTTGATACATTTTTTGGTTGACTTTACAATGGTTATTGTATGCGTAAGATTGTCCTATTTTGTTTGTTTTTTTTTCGTTTAGCCCCTACCTCGCGCATGCGTGGGATGTTGTTTTTGAGGTACAACTTAACCTATTCTAAAGTGGGTGGTCGAGATTCAAGTCCGGGTACAGGTCTCTTTTTATCAAATTATTAACATTCGGCTGAAACTTCGTAAATAGCTGCATCTCATCGTAACCTACAAATATTTTATTTACTAAAATTCTCGGAATTGTGGTGTTTTCAATCTGGAGTTCGGCAAACTTTGTCTATTTAATTAGGTATTAGAAACTCCTAAATAACCCATTTTCTTTTAACTTGAATCGTAATACAACTTGAGCACATAGTCAAGAAAAAATGTGTCCTTCATAAATATTGAGCCGATTGGCCTATATAACCTCGTTATTTTGACTCTTTGGGGATGTAGGTCACCCCAAATGGCTAGATATTTTTGAAGGTCACTTTTGTCCAACGAGTCAATTGGAAAGCAAGTGGCTATTTACGAGTTTTTAGTACCTAATGAAATAGAAAAAGTTTGCGGACCTCCAGATTGACAACGCCCCAATTCCGAGAATTATCGTAAATAAAATATTTGTAGGTTACGACGGGAAGCTATTTACGAAGTTTCAGCAGGATGTTAATTATTTAATAAAAAGGGGTCTGTACCACGGACTACTCATTTCGGCTTAGAGAATAATGAAAAAAAGTTTTGCAACTTAAGAAATTAAAATCTTGATTTGGAATAAATGACGTTTAAAGCCTTGCACTGCATCCCAATTATTAAAAAGTTGATCCATGACTGTTAAGATACTGACAGGTGACCGTACTGTCTGCTCGCAATATCCGGACAAGTTGCTGTGATCAATCTAACAGCGGTCGACCCCAGGACTGAAATTAACCTTTCTTGTAACAAATAGCAGGTATCAATCAGCTCTAGAGCTAGGAGTGACGATTTTAGCAGATACGTCAGTCTGATTGGTTCGCGGCGCTTCTCGCCATGGGCCTCCACCAATCCACGTCTTCGCTGACAGCTTGTACTACTTCAAGAGCTTTTTCCACTGACGTTTGAAGGCGTTTTAGTCTCCCACATATAAATGATCTGACATAGAACAAATGTTTTGAAAGGGTCTATTTTTTCGGACACTTGCTATTCAACATCCTGAACTAAAATGGATGAGGTAGGGAAATCGGTCCAAAAAATGGTTCGAAAAAACTCTCAAGCTTGTTTATTTCTTCTTAAAACTGTTAAGATAACTGTCTATGAAAGATCTTCTGAAGTGGAAATTTGAATAATCACAGATTGATATCATAGTATATCATGAGTGACATCCAGATATATCATAAGCAGCTGTTGCCGTTTTTTTTTTTTTTTTTTTATAAGAAATTATTTCCTCATTGGTAAGCTAGAAATTAGTAGGTCGCAAGAATAAATTATTCTCCAATCATTTTAAGCCTTCTTAGCTGTAAGTTCTTTATCTTCTGTTCTGCCTTAATTTATATTTCACCTGTCAGAAATGCTTAAATAGATTGAAACTTTAATCCATAAAAAAAAAACACTGATTGAAATGTATTTCTTGTACATTTTTTTATTATAGATGGGTGATAATATTATTAAATAATTATATTAATGTAAAATTTGTTTGAACCTTCAAAAGAAAGGAAGAAGTTTGGTAAATATTTATTGAACAAAAGCATCCCGTATGAATCCTTCCTTTGAAGGAATTCCAACTCGTTCCGTTATTCATCGATTGAATTGCAGATTGCTCACAAGTTCCTTCGGCTTTAAACTTTATACGTTGATAACTTTATTGTTGCTATTTCTCAATTTATTTTACCTATTCATATTCAGTTATTTTCTATCTATTACGATACTCAATAATGCCGTAGAAAGGTATTTTCTTATCTTTTTTTATTGTTTTCATGTGTTTTTTAACCTTCCAGGAGTGCTAATCTTCCGTTGGATTCCAAAATTCAGAATAAATCGGTGCTGGATTCAATCGAACATAGTGGCAATGTTTCTTATTATATCTCTAAACTTTGTGGCAGTCCTGATTTTCATTGCCTGGTATTATATGGATTGATAGTACTATACTGGCCCTAACAGTTGGATATACTTGGCAGAAATTTTCTTCAGAAGACCTGTGAAGGCCAAACGACTAATCCGTTGATCTGGTAAAATCGAGTCTAGGGCCACGTGTAATCGATCCATTTAAGCATCTTAACTAATTTACTCATCCTTTTTTTTTCTCCTTCACCTCGTCTATTCGGATATATATATATATATATATATATATATATATATATATATATATATATATATATATTGGGGATTTTTTTTTTTTTTTTTTTACTTTCGTATGAATTAACCTGACACATGGTTGAACCGGACCTCCCTGTTCATTATGTAATATGAAAGCAATAGAAAATATTGTGCATTTCCTTGGTGTATGTCCTGTTCTGGCGGAACTTAGGAGAAGATATTTTGGAAAAGATACCCTGACATTTGGGGAAATAATTGCACATATGAACGGAATAAATTGGTTACATCTATCGTATTATTGTAAAGCCGCCTGGCAATACAGATGTGCCTAATGCCAAGAATTTAATTACTAATTGATGAATTATGTTTAAACCGAAAAAAAAAAATTTTTCTAATTATATTAAAATATCTATATTAAAAATTTGTATGTATTTATATATTAAAATTTTATTGTGTATTTGATATTAAGATATGATAAATTTTGTTTCTGTATTTATTAGCATTTACATTGTCTTTATTACCATTAACATATTAGGTTTTAGTTTATATTATTGCATCAATAATACTTGTTTTGCCAAGACCAGCCTCCGGCTGATGGTTTCAAGAATCAAGTCCTAAATATTTTTTTATTGAGCTTAGGTACTTTTGATGTTTGTTATTATTTGTATAAATACTCAATAAAAAATTCATTCATATTGCAGATTTTCTGGAACCTAGGGGTAGGGCGGGGGATTAATGCCAGAATTAAATTTCCACCACACTGGGACCAGAACTCATAATCTTCAGGTTATAAGGTTGCCAGGCAACGAGTGTTTTGCAAACGCGTTAGTCCGCTCGACCGTCCAGCTCCCAAACTTTACTTACTCATTGCCACTTTACGTTTATATTACCAAAATTTAAAATGGATTTTTTCGGTTCGGGAAGCCACTATTGGGCCGTCAATTACATCACCTCTACCTTTTTAGCGAAGTTTATGAGAGTAGAGAAATTTCAACTGTTACAGTGTTACTATTCCGCGGTAGCTGGCGTTTTCCTGTGTACCCGGCGTTGTTGAGGCTCAGAAGAAAGCGACATTAGCTGTAGGTACAAGAAGAAGGAGGCCATTTCTCTCGCCTTTACCATATGTTAATGTACTAGTAAATAGTAGATAAGGGAGCGGAGACAATGGGACATTGAGGAGCGGCCTTAGATGGCCAAGCGGAAGACCAAATAAATCCAAAGCCGTGGACAGATCACGATGACCACAGCTTTCTCCCCTGCTCACGCTCCGTGCCGTACACTCTTCGACACGATCCTGTCAAATAGCAGGGGCTCTTTCGGCACAAATAGAGCAATCTGTCTGCGAGGGGACATTGTTCTGTCTTCAGTTGGAAATAGGGGAAGTGTTGCGAGTGTTGTGATCTGTCTTGGTCTAGCCTCGGGGGAAAAAGAGTTTTGGTTGTGCAGTAAGAGTAATGGGATAGGTGATATAATGCATTGGATCTATAATGGTAACTAGACAATGTCAGAATACTTTGGCATGTTCAACTTCTTAACGCTATGAAAGCGCAACTTTCACAATTTTTCCTCTAGAAATTGTGGCATTATAGCCTCACGAATACAGACAATAAATGATTAATTATAATTCCTTCTTAACCTTCTTAAGGAAAAACCTTCTTAACTCGTCTGACTATGTTGCTAATTACAGAACGAAACCTGTTTCCTGACATCCCACAGCTCAGGATATGTCTGAAAGATGTTTTCCGTGTTTTAGTCCCTTGTTTTGCATCTTCAAAGAGGGATTTCTACAACGCTGAAATTCAAATAAGGATGTACTCTCAGCGCGTTATGACCCGTCCTGAATATAAAGAGTAATACTCTTTCCTGATCTTATGTCATTATGTGAGTGGACATCATTCCATACTTGGCGTAGTGCTTATTTATTAATAGGAATCGTATCCTTGAGAGTGCGAAAATGGAGTTCCTTTGAAAAGAAGCATCTTTGGAAGTAATTTTATTCTGAAGTAGTTAGTGGTGCATTGATAGTAACAGAAGCACGTGCGGGTTCAAGGAGGAAGAAGACTTTCGGACTATAGCCTCCAACAAAGATAGTTTTTTTTTTTTTTATGGAACTGTTTGTTTCTGTGGGTGATCTGAGCCAAAAACTTGCATAATCACATTTTTGTTTTTAAAACATTCATACGTATTTAACCTAATGAATATGAGCAAAAGTAAAAAAAACACTCTAAAAAAAAAACTACTCTAAAAGCATGATTGTTACTATAATTACCGTTATTACAGACAAAAAATATCCTAAATACCATTATTTTATCATGCAGTTGGAGTTTTTCAACTTCCTTTAGAATATCGTGGAGTCCAGATTTCCATTTGGCCAGCAGATCTGGTAGAGCTCTACATTCTTAGCGATCAAATCTACCAAATTCACAACTTTAATCTAGGACGAATTTTAATTCATTAGAGGTAACATCGAATAAGAAAAAGAGTAAAGTGATATAGGAAAATATGGTAATTTACCTTCTAATCATGGACAATCCCAGCGAAAACGTGTAAAATAAAAATTATAAGGGAACGTAAAGATTAATTATCAAAGTAATAACTTTACATATCATATTATATTTAATGACGTCGTTTTTTATTTTATTCTGGTATTGTAAGCAATATTCAACTTAACCTAAAAAGTTTTTTTTTAACAATTTTTTAAAACTTTTTTATTGAGAAATATTACACTCTGTCTCAGTTAAGGACACTTATAATATAGTTCTGAAAGTACATTTATACCGTATATACAGAAACATAAATAAATAAAATAATAACGAAAAAAGAGATAGAAATAAGAACAAAATAAACTAAATTATTATTAATAATTGGTAATTGGTTGGCTGTCGTGGATATTGAAGAGAAGAATAGTTGGGGTGGTCAGTCAAAAAGGAAGGCAAAAAATAAATGATAATATTTATTTTTTACATATGCCGACGTTTCTCCCTGCAACACTCCCTGCAAACAGGAGACAGCCCTGATGAAGGCCTGAACTTCAGGTCGAAACGTCGGAATATGTAAAAAATAAATATTATCATTTATTTTTAGCCTTAATTTTTGACTGACCACCCGAACTATTCTTCTCTTCAAAATTATTATTGTTATTAATCAGCTGAAAAGCCCTCAACGGACCTGGGCCTCTCAACAAACTTATGCTAGACTTCTCTATCGCCTGATTTTATAATTATTGGTACAAAACAAATCATTAATAGTATGGTTTTACAACAATAATTTCATTAAATTTTGAAGAAGCTGTATTTTAACCATATTTTTTTTTTTTAATCAATAAACGATGGAATGATTGTACGTTAATTTGCCAATATGTATATTTGTATATTTTAAATTTTCTGTATGTTATTGATACATTGCTAGTGCAGCCTTTAGTACTAATGATTATTTATAACTATTGCAGCACTCGACACGAGCAGCGTGACCGTGAAGAAGCAGGTCTTCGAACTTCTCTCAGCGCTATGTGTCTACAATACCGAGGGTTACACCCGGGCGTTGGATGCGCTCGAACACTACAAGGTATGTTTTGTTAATGCACTTGAACTACTTCAAATATAATTTTTATGATTTTTTTTTCAGCTGCTAAGTAGTTATTTATTACCTTATTGATTTAAGGAAGGGAAATGGTAGTACCTCGGTCAAACTAATGGGTTTTTGAAGTCGCTAATATGTGTTCCCCATCAGATTCGTAAAAAGTTGTGTTATTCGATTGTTATAACTTGGAAAAAACAAAAACAGATTTAACAATTAATATGCGAAAAAAACATATTACAATGTTTATTTTATTTTGTGATATGTCTCTGACTGAATAAAAAAAAAGTTAATGAAATGAACATCTTGTTATATACTATAAGAAAAATATAACTTTAATAGATTTACTCGAAATTAACCGAAACATAATAATAACGCCGAAAAAATAATTCAAATGGAATATCGTAAGCGAAATCGGATGTTATCGCAAGCAAAATCATTTTGTCAATAATATTTTTTGAAGATTTTGATGCGTACAGCAAGACCCGGATAGTTCTTCCGGAACTATCGGATCCTGCGTTTTTAAGCCCAAAAACGTACCATTTTCGAGATAAAGCAAGGCATGGGGTTCGCATCCACACAACCTGACGTTAATTGTAGTACTGTCATTGGATACATGTCTCATTTCGTCGACTTGAGGTCTCTATGATCGAGACTGGAGGAGTTTATATTATTTATCGATGATGTTTTTGATCGGTAAACCATATCATCGTTAATTTTTCACCAAATCTCAAGATCGAGCCACCAATTTCGAAGGCTACCTTCTCCTTCAGGTGGAAAAAATATTCCAATCACCCCGAAAATTCAGGCAAACAAGTTATGAAAAAAAAAAAAACTTTATTTGCGAATAACTAAAAAATTACACACTTTTCCCTGGGTTATTCCTATGATTATATAAAGCATTACTTAATTGTCTACAAAAGGAAAAAAAAATCATTGAAATCGGACAATTTTTCGCAAAGATACAGCTTATTGGAATTTGTAAATATGTTGGTTCCAAAGAAAAAGATTTAAATTAATTTTGTTTCCTTCGCGGATTATATTTATGGATAAAGTAACAATTGATTTCTTTATCTTTTGATACGTTGCATTATTTTATGTTCTTATTAATTTGGCATTTGATAACAATATGCTGTGCGAATTTTTCGCACGGGCCTACTAGTTTAAAAAAATTCTATAACTATGCAAACGTACCTATATATAAATTATTTGTAAATATTCAGTATTATATCGTTTCACAATAATTATTTTGAATTTGTATTAATGATTAAAACTTCGCTCCCTTCCTATCTCCTCCCTCCCTTTCCTCCCTCCCTCTCCTCCCTCCCACCAAACTAAATGGAAAGCCTCTGCTTTTATGGTTTATGGTTTCAAGTCTTTCAGGAAATCATAATTCGAAAGTCTGTAAGAATTTCTTATTAGTTGATTTCGAAACTCATTCCTATTTCTGAAATGAAGATAGTTATTAGGAATAAAGGTTAATTAAAACAAATTTTCGATTTATTTTTTAATCTTTTCATTGAAGTGCATAATTATTTCTATCGTATAAATAAAAATAAAACAAAATTCTAAAGATAAAAAGACTTATTTTCATCTAAGATAGGAATTCGATAGAAATGGAACTGCAGTCGTTTCCTTCAGTCTTCGAAGGTTACCTTTGTGGTGTTACTGTAACATTTCGTCACGAAGGACAGTAATCGCGGATGTATCTTGGTGCATTAATTAATATTAATTCTATCCACGGTTCACATAATGATTATTAATAGAGGATGTATTTTTCATTCACATAACGTATAAATTATCAACAGAAAATGCATGTAGGAAGTCAGCTAATAACTTGATTAAAATTAAAATAGTTGTAATCTCTATATGAATGAAAGAAGCTCGAAATAGAAGTCAATGGAAGAAGAAATTGCGCCATATTATATTCTGCTGTACAGACCACTTAATTATAAAATTATTAACATCCCTTCAAAAATTCGGATATTACTTCATCTTGTCGTAACCAACTATTTTATTTAATTTAAAGAAAATTCACGATGATGTGAGTTTTCATTCACGAGGAAAAACAACCGTTAACTGGTTAATGTGATACTAAAATCTCTTGAACACCCATTTGCTTTCCAATTGAAACATAAGATAATTTGATCACAAAAATGAAAGAAAAAGATGGCCTACAAAAATATTGTGCCGTTTGGCCTACATAATCTTGTTATTTTGACTTTTTGGGGTTGGCGTCCACAGCTAACGGCCCATTATTTTGGTTGGCCACATTTGTTTCCGATTTAGTAATCAAATTATCTTACGGTTCAAGTGGAAAGCAAATGGTTATTCATGTGTTTTACTACCATATTAAATAGACAAATATTGCTTGTTTAGGTTTCCAATTGTACATTTATTATAATCACTTAGTTGTCATTTAGTATAAATCAATAAATATCTTTAAATACCATGCCATTGAAATCCCTGCATCCGATGTAATTAAATATTTGGGTTTTTACCTCAACAAAACAAACAAAAGACTAAGGACACTTTAAGGACACACATTAGACAAAAACATATGGAATTAAACAGACGATACGGTCTATTATCTAGGTTACTTGACAGACGTTCAAAATTATCTTTGACTAACAAACTAACACTCTATAAAGTTTTACTAAAACCAATTTAGACTTATGTCATAGAACTGTGGGGTTCTGCTAAAACTTCTAATATTAAAAAAATCCAGTCTTTCCAATCCAAAATTTTACGAAGAATAGCTGACGCACCATTTTATGTCGCAAACGATAAATTACATAAAGCCTTGAACATCCAAACAATTTTAGACACTGCAAAAGAAAACTACAGTAACTTTCACCAAAGACTAACTTACAACACAAACCCTCTGACAGAAAACCTTAAAAGCACTAGAAATCCTTACAGCCCACCTCGACGATTACGTAGGTGGTGGCCAAGAGACCTGCTGAACTGAACTATTTCCTGGATTGTGATGGGACGCTGTGAAGCTGCCAAAAAATTTAATGCAGATCGCAAATTTAATTTTTAAGTCCAATTTTATGGTTTGTATTAATAAATGAATAAATAAAAATACCATGCATAAATCCTTCTTAAAACTGGAAAGTAACCAAGGAAAGAAATGGTGTCAGCGCAAATAGTTTATGTTGTATATCAGTAAGTACGTGAAAAAACAAAACAATATGCATATATTTTAAGTATGTAAATGTATCTGTACCCCGGAGGTAAAGAACACCCCGTTTTTGTATTTGTCCAGGGGAGATAATGACCCATACTGTTTGAGACATTATAATTTGTCTCTTAGTTACTAAATCTCTTCTCCGTAGGTAAAGTTCGTCCTGTCGCATTTCCGTGCTTCTTCAGGGAGCCTATTATCCATAACTTTGAGCTACTAAATTTATGTAACAATTAAAATTATCCACATAGACCTCAACATTCCTCTTGTGGAAGACTTAGCCCGAACTAGATATACCTCTTTTCATTCCAAGCTCTTTGGTCATCCCAATCCTCTAGTTTGTAACCTTTCATCCAACACAATTCCTGACAACCCTCCGAGGCTTCTGAAAAGAAGATGGCCAAGAGACCTCCTAAATTAATTTATCTTTGAAGTACCTAGGACTCCATCTGCACAAACGTCTAACTTGGAATCCTCATACCAGACTGAAACGACAAGAAACAGCTCGACGTTTCCGACTACTTCAACACTTACTAGACAAACGCTCTAACCTTCCAATCAATTATATAAGACTCATTTACATGACTATAATAAGGCCTATTTGGACTTACGGAGTTGAGCTATGGGGCTCCACCAAACGTTCAAATTCCTCTCGCATAGAATCCTTACAATCCAAAATCCTTCGTAAAATCCTCAATGCTCCTTACTTTGTTACAAATAAAATTATCCATAATGACCTTAATGTTGCTTATGTATCAGATTTGGCCCAATCCAGATATCTGTCCTTCCCTAATAAACTTCATAACCATCCCAACCCTCTTGACTCTAACCTTGCTTCCTATTCGATTCCTGATAACCCTCCGAGGCGTCTGAAAAGAGGATGGCCACGTGATCTTCTAATATAGACATATTATTAGAGTGCTACCAATGGGTATTTTCTCAACATGTGTTCCATGTCTTTATATCAATGTGCGAATTTACCAGATGTATTTTTCGTATACAGTTGTAAATATCATATAAATAAATAAATAAAAAAAAAATCTTTGAAGTGTTACCAATGGATAGCTTCTTCACAGGTGCCTTCATGTAATATATTCCTATAGCAAATTTACTGGTTGTATATATGTTTACTGTTGTAAATTTCAATAAAATAATAATAAAAAAAAGTTACTAAATTATTTAACAAATAAAATGGGCACGGTGTCCTTTCACTCAGAGGTACAGATATATGAAGTATGAATATCTTATGTTATTGGTTCAACTATATCGGTACCTAATTGTATAAACTGCAACCCTCCAGGAAGCTTTCAAATCCTGTCTAAAGTTGCAGATTTAGAAATTATTTATGAGTCCCATCCGGCGAGAGGTAAGTGGAGGAAGAAGTTAAGCCCGGGTTACATAAGGAGGAGATAAATGGAAACTACTATTTGTTTACCCAGATGTTACGGAGAGTCGCCTGGAGGTATATGCCTCGTTCCAGTGACTGCTATCAGGTACTTTACTTTTGCCGGCTAAACACAGGCCATGCCTTATCGGGGACCCCCTATCGGGACGCTTAGGCAACACCGACCCGCGGGCGATTCATAGTCCACCTCTGTCTCCTCGCCTCGCGAATGTTTAAGCAGAGGAAGCTAGAAAATAGTCAGTATAGACATATTTCTTTAATGAATCTCATTAAAGTGTGAGTATAAAGTTATTTATATCTATCTTATTTCCAATATCCACAGTTATTCATCACATATACACTAAAAAAACGCTGCAAATTATTTTACAATGGTTTATTATCTCCAAACAATTATACATCTAAAGTAACATTACCTTCCGAGATACAAAGAAAAAACAAAACAAAAGGTGATTCCAATTATTGGACTAAACTTTATTTCTTTAATCATTAGTAGAATGCTAAAAA